CGAAGGCAGATGCTTAACCAACTGAGCCACCCAGGCGCCCCAACCTAGCTATTCTTATTCTTACTCCTCTTCAATAGGTAATGGGAAGCCATTATACCTTTTTGCACAGGGGAGGAAAAGGTGAAAATGATGTCTTCGAGAAGTTATCTTGGTGTTGGTTGTGGAAGTTGGATTGTACTGGCAGAGATAGGAAATCTCTTAGAATATTATTACGGTAATCTGGACCCAAGGGACAGAAGGAAGTGGGAACAGAGAGGATGTTGTCAAGGAAGAATTAATAGGATTAGATGCCTACTTAGATACAGGAGAAAATAAGGAAGAACTGAAGGTGAACCTAGAGCTTTGAGTTATTTTGATGTCATTATGGAAAATGAGGGAAATTGGGAAAGGAAGTTTAAGAAGTTAGTCTTTTAAAACAATGGAATAACAGTAAATCTTTTCAATACTATGTAAGGTTAGTATAGTCCTTCCATTTAATATTTTATGTAGGTGTTTTCCTGCAGTGAGAAGTTCAAAGTATTTTGTAATTTACTCAACCAACAAGAGCAATTTTTCCCAAAGCAGGACAGGATTTTGCCTGTTGTTCCTCCCACTGAAAGTCAGAGCATCAGCCAACATCAGCCATTTTGAGGGTTGTTAGTAAAAGCAGACTAGCTTGACTGTTTATTTAATTGTTTATATCTTGCCTATTTCCAAAACGGCTATGAGGTGCTTATAATGAAATACAATTGTTAAAATAAGGTCAAGAGCCATGCAACTGTCAAGGGCAAAGAGTACTATATGCTAGAAACCCAGGTTAAGGGGAGTTGCTGCACTTGAGTGCTAAACTTAGCTTTCAGGTTTTTAGGATCCAAGGTAAAAATGGAAATAGTAAGTTAGCCACTTGTGCTCTCTGAAGTTGAGTATGCCGGAAAGATTTTAGTTGCCCAGTGCTGGCACAGTGCTTAACAAATGCTTGCTGAAAGGATGAAACGATTGGTACACTAAGATCAAATTAAACATCTCTTCATAAAAAAGACTGGGTACTTCATAGGTTTCAAGGAAGACCAGAAAACTGAAAAACATATCACCGAGATCTAATGCCACCGCTTTCCTAGACTGTGGAAACCAAACTGTGGTATCTAGATGGCCCCTATCAGAATCACACCCTGCACTTCGGCTGGCACCATCTGTTTCAAAAGCTTCATTTCATAAAGTTCCCTTACATTTGTGTCTAAACCCAGTTTAATTTATCCAAACCAGGTTAAGATAAAACAAAGACTATAATATGTGTTGCTAAAGTTTACATTTGTGAAGACATAAAAGGACGAGATGCTAGAAATGCAGAGGTGACAGGCAAGTAGATAATCTGACTGATTTTACTTAAGGCACTGCTAGAAAAAGTCACATTCTTACTGGGTCTCAGTGATTTTATATCCTATTGAACAAGGCAGGAAATAAAGGTAAAGTTATAGAACCATATACTGTGAACAAACTGTTATGGGTGGAACTGTGTCCCCCTAAAATCTAGTATGTTGAAGTCCTAACCCCCAGCGCCTCAGAATATGACTTTACTTGGAGATAGGGTATTTGCAGAGGTAATCAAATTAGGATAAGGTGATGAGGGTGGGCCCTAATCCAATATGTCCTTATAAAAAAGGAGAAATTTGGAGACAGACATATGTGTAGGGAAAACACCAGCTGAACACGAAGATGGCTATTTACAAGCCAAGGACAGAGGCCTGGAACAGACAGACGCTTCTCTCACAGCCCTCAGAAGAAACCAATCCTGCCAACACCCTGATTTCGGACTTCCAGCCTCCAGAGCTGAGAGAAACTAAATCTCTGTTGTTTGAGTCCCCCTGTTTGTGGTACTTTGTTGTGGCAGCCCTAGCAAACTAATACACAAACTATTTCAGCAGGGTGGTTAATTATGTTTAGGGTTTTGGGATAGGGAACTAAAAGCTGAGCGCTTCCAAACCTCTTGAAACATAAACTTGATTGTTACTAGGAAAGGAAAATTACATAAAAAGAGTAGTTCCTGGGGCGCCTGGGTGGCTCAGTCGTTAAGCGTCTGCCTTCGGCTCAGGTCATGATCCCAGGGTCCTGGGATCGAGTCCCACATCGGGTTCCCTCCTCGGCGGGAAGCCTGCTCTCCCTCTCCCACTCCTGCTGCTTGTGTTCCTGCTCTCGCTATCTCTGTCTCTGTCAAATAAATAAATAAAATCTTTAAAAAAAAAAAAAAAAGAGTAGTTCCTGAACACTTAGGATGTGTTTAGAAAATTAACTTCCATGGTCATCACCTCATGATATATACATAAATCATCATGTTGTGCACCTTACACTTAGACAATGTTATATGTCAATTACATATCAGTAAAGCTGGGGGGAAAACAGAACATTAACTTCCAGCTTCATTTTCTCAAGCTCCCTAATGCCTAGAAAACAGCTAGTAGCCCCAGTTGAGAAAAAATTATGCACTAACTGCCTGCTAGGAAAGGGTTAACTTAAATCATACATTGACTTAAATGTTGACCCAGAACCTAATATTGACTTGGGCTGTGTGCTTATTTAAAAGTAAAAGAAAATGTAATCAAATCAGTTTATAGGAAACGCAGGGAACAAAAGAACATATTAAACACCACATGGAAACAGAATCAGAATGTGGGGCAGTCTACAGGACAAATGGCCTGGTTTCTTCAATAAATAAGTGGCATGGAACAAAAACCAGGAGGGGAAGGGAATGTTTTAAATAAAAGAGACCTGAGGGGCGCCTGGGTGGCTCAGTCGGTTAAGGGACTGCCTTTAGCTCAGGTCATGATCTCAGGGTCCTGGGATCCAGCCCCACATCGGGCTCCCCACTCAGTGGGGAGTTGGCGTCTCCCTCTGACCCTCCCCTGCCTCGTGCTCTCTCTCTCTCTAATAAATAAATAAAATCTTTAAAAAAGAGAGAGATCTGAAAGATCATGGTTGGAACATGTTTGAATCAGTAAAACAGACATTTTTGAGAACAGTGAGAATTTTAACATGGACTGGTTATTAGATGACATTAAAGAATAACTTAATTTTGCTAGATGTAATGATGGCATTGTGATTATGTAAGAAAAAAAGTCCTTCTCAGAGACTCATACTGAATGTTTGTGGGTAAAAAGAGATCAGGGATTTACTTTCAGGCATCCTCCCCAAAAGGTTAGTAAGTTCAACAGCTAAAAAGAAATCACGGTCAAAGAATGCATATAAAGAGGGGTGCCTGGGTGGCTCAGTCTGTTAAGCGTCTGACTCTTGATTTCAGCTCAGGTCATGATCTCAGGGTCATGAAATTGAGCCCTGTGTTGGGCTCTGCCCTGGGCATGGAGCCTGCCTTGGACTCTTTCTCTCCCTCTTCCTCTGCCCCTCACCCCCTCCCCGGCTCACGCGCTCTCTCTTTCTTTCTCTCTCTCTCTCTCAAAAAAAAAAAAAAAAGAATGCATATAAAGAAATATGCAATTTAAGATATCTATCAGACCATTAAGCTGCTGAAAATAAGTCTTGATTTTCCATTCAATCAGTACCCAGATTGAAAGCTAATATTATTTCTATTTTCCCATTTAATTCACTTTCTACTTGTGTTTCATTTTAAATGTTTATAACATATATTCTGTCACTATGGAAATAGACTGCTTTACAATTTACTGACCAGTTAAATTTTTCTTGATTTCAAGCTTCATAGTCAAATAGCAACATGTAATCAATTTTCAAAAATTTACCTTGATTTCAAGCTTCATAATCAAATAGCAACATATAATCAATTTTAAAGTACTGATCTCATTTAGGGGAAGCAACAAAACAAATTGCACAGATAAACCAGAGGTCATCTTATCTACTAATTTTAGGTTCTTTCCTTAAGAACTTCTAAAAGAGCTCCATACTTGCAAAGACAGTTAAAGAATGTTTTATCCACTAAAAAGTAAAAGAATCTTTTTCCCATACTTGTTTGCTACTGGATGACAGGCTGGACTTCAGGGAAGCCATGGTGTGAGAGGGAGAGAGGGAAAGGAAGCAGGAGTTGGAGTCCTAAACACCAGACTCCTGAGATACTATGGCTTCTGCGCCACTGACACAGGGAAAAGGTAGCTGGAAAGGAATCCAGTAATTTGGGGCTAGTTCTGGCTCTGACATTCACTAACTCTGAACACTGGGTAAATTACTAAATTTCTCCTGTCATGAGTTTCTGATCTTATGTTGTGAGATAAAATGAGAGCACAGATGTAAAGTACCTATTTTAGCGCTAAGTAAATAATAAGTGCTTCATAACAGTTAAGCTGCCCTTGAACAAAAATCTGCTTGTAGTTGGGTCAGAAAAATCCTACCACCTGTGGTGGAGTGGTGATTTGATCTTTTGAGTTCTGTGGCTAATCTTTGGATAATTAAAAGGTTTAACTGTGTATTAGGCGTTTGCTATTAAACACACACACACACACACACACACATGCACACGCATGCATGCACACATACACGCCTGCACAGAACATAAGCCAGTGAGGTACAATGTGTCCCTGAACTCAGATCACTAAGAAATGAACACAAAATGATAGCATAAAGGCCATTTCATCTGTCAAAAAAATTTCTTCACCTGACGGTTTAAAAAAACCATGATAACTATGGTCATTATGAACCTAAAAATTAATTTTCTTTTTTCTTTGTGATCTCTGAAAGAGGTCAGATTCAAGGCAGAAGAGCATATTGTCTTTCTGGAAACTATCAGTTTATTAAAATAGGTAATAACTCAAAGAAATATAGGACTCCTTAGTTGTTTTTTTTTAGAGGAACCATTACTAGAATTAAAAACAGAATCACATGTGACCTAATTTGGAATTACTGAACCACAGGTATTTTTTTAAAGAAAAATAAAGTTTTCTTTTTATTGAACAGCTATCAGTTTTGAAAGTCTTCTTACCTGTTTGATTTGATGAAGGCGACCATAGGAAGCACGGATGGGGATAGGAGAGGGTGACAAAAACTGAAATTTAAAATATAAAAGTCAATACCTAAGCTAACATAACATTGAATATTAATCATACTTCAATAAAAAAATAAACAGAAGTCAAGCTGGCTTTAATGTTTCTGACTAATTATTTCTAAACATTAATTAAGTCAATGTTGAATTACCTAAAATGTCTGAGTGCCTAATGCATGTTAGCAACAGTATTAGTTAAGCTTAAAATTAAAGAAATAATAAAAGATCCAACTGACTCTTGACTGAAAATTATACTAATCAAAAGTACATATATATAACAGAACAGAACAAAATAACTGAGTTAACATAAAAGATACCGGGCAGAACATCAACAGAACATTTTGTTTATCTCTACTTTCCCTTTCCCAAGTCACTGGATCTTGAAATCACCTCACTTTTTCTTGCCAGTTTTATCTTGCAAAAAACAAACAAAATAACCCCATCATGTATCTTAGAACCCAGCTGAAGAAACCACACTTTCATAACATGAAATGACTTAAGGCAGTCACTTCCAAGTAGCTCAGCACATTTTCTCTTGCTTGTTCAGATACTTGTCATTTAGACTACTTTCTCCTGTTCTGTCTTATCTCAAAGCTTATGAGGACCCACACAAGAGGGGAATGAAAGAATGGAGGGATTTAAAGCTAAGTGTGAAAATGAGGCTTGAAAAGTACCTTTAGAATTCATTTATCCATTCTACCTGTATCCTGGTTAGTTCTTGAAATGCCAGATAATGAATCTACCATATCTTACTTTTACATTATATCTTAAGAGCACACTGAGTTGTGCATTCAGAAATATTTAATGAGGTAAACCACTGTGCTAGACCCTGAGGATCCAAAGAGAAATAAAGCATTTTCCTGTCCTTGAGAAATTCAAAGTGTAGGTAGGAAAAATTAGGCCATAGGTCAGTGTGCCAGAACAAGTTATGATTCGTGGGAAGTCAAAGCACAGAGACTATATTTCTGCCTGGGGTTCCTGGGGAAGGCTTCATAGAGGAGGGTAGGAATTCAATAGACAGGAAAGAGGAAGCAGGGTATTTCAGGAAGTGAGAAGAGATGCTCAGGCAGAGGCATGTTTGGGGAACAGAGAGATTCAGGGTGGCTGAAATTTGGTACATGATAGGGCATGAAAGGAAGCAAATCTGGGGAAATTTGGCTGAAACCAGATTATGGATTTTGGACTTTAGTCTTTTGAGCCCAATAGGAAACCTAAAGCATAGATCCTTCTGAGTTCTTAAAACTCAAAGTATTTTAGGGTCACCTGGGTGGCTCAGTCATTAAGCATCTGCCTTCGGCTCGGGTCATGATCCCAGGGTCCTGGGATCGAGCCCCACATTGGGCTCCCTGCTTCGGCAGGAAGTCTGCTTCTCCCTCTCCCACTCCCCCTGCTTGTGTTCCCTCTCTCGCTGTCTCTCTCTGTCAAATAAATAAAATCTTCTAAAAAAAACTCAAAGCATTTTAAACAAGATCATATCTGTTTTAGAAAGGCAACCCTAGCAGCATATACAGAACAAAATGAGGGTGGAGGGAAGAGGGACTAGAAGCAGGATCAAAGGCCAGGTAAAAGATAATGAGAGTCTGAATGAAAAAGGGTGGGATGAAGAGAAGGAGGCAGACTGGAGAAATGATGAGAAAGTGAAAAGAGGGGTGCCTGGCTGGCTCAGTTAGTAGAGCACATGACTCTTAATCTCAGGGTTGTGAGTTTGAGCCCCATGTTGGGAGTAGAGATTACTTAAAAATAAAATCCTTAGGGGTGCCTGGGTGGCTCAGTCAGTTGAGCGTTCAACTCTTGATTTTGGCTCAGGTCATGATCTCAGGTCGTGGGATTGAGCCCTGAGTGGGGCTCTGAGCTGAGCACGGAGCCTGCTTAAGATTCTCTCTCACCCTCCCCCTCTGGCCCTCCCGCCCTGCACTCAACATGTGCTCTCTCTCTAAAACAATGAAAAATTAAAAAATAAATAAAATCTTAAAAAAAAAGAAAGAGTGAAAAGAGCTCAAGATTGGTCTGAAGTTCCTGGCTGAAACCCATGGATGGGTGGTAGCCAGGAAAGGCAGTAAGAGGAATGAGTTGGTGTGTGGGGAGAAGGTGAGTATTCAAAAAGGTGTGTTGGATATATAAGTATTTTTATGAAGTAGCTAGTCTGAATTTTTATTAGATTTTAAAATGTATCATGTGACTCTTTAAGGGGCATTTTCTCTCACCAGTTATATTTTGCTTAAGAAAGTGTTAAAACCACATGAGAGACTATGGACTCTGAGAAACAAACTGAGGGTTCTAGAGGGGAGGGGGTTGGGGGGATGGGTTAGCCCGGTGATGGGTATTAAAGAGGGCACGTATTGAATGGAGCACTGGGTGCTATACGCAAACAATGAATCATGGAACACTACATCAAAAACTAATGATGTGGGCGCCTGAGTGGCTCAGTTGGTTGGGCGACTGCTTTCGGCTCAGGTCATGATCCTGGAGTCCCTGGATCCAGTCCCGCATCGGGCTCCCTGCTCAGCGGAGAGTCTGCTTCTCCCTCTTACCCTCCCCCCTCTCATGTGCTCTCTCTCTCATTCTCTCTCTCTCAAATAAATAAATAAAATCTTTAAAAAAAAAAACTAATGATGTAATGTATGGTGATTAACATAATAAAATAAAATTTAAAATAAACAAATAGAAAGAAAGAAAGAAAGAAAGGTGTTAAAACCAGTTTGTTTTTTCTAATCATTTGCTAGAGGGTGGAGGCAACAGCCAAGGTATAGAAGTAACAACAGAAAATTCATATGAGGGGGGCGCCTGGGTGGCTCAGTTGTTAAGTGTCTGCCTTCGGCTCAGGTCACGATCCCAGGATCTTGGGATCGAGCCCCGCATTCAGCTCCCTGCTCGGTGGGAAGCCTGCTTCTCCCTGCTTTTCCCTCTCCCGCTCCCCCTGCTTGTGTTCCCTCTCTTGCTGTGTCTCTCTTTGTCAAATAAATAAATAAAGTCCTTAAAAAAAAAGAAAGAAAATTCATATGAGGATCACTGAAAATTCTCTACATCTAAATTACACTGGACAAGGAGCCATAATTACTTCATCATAACAAGTCACTCAGAAAAATAGGGCTCTTTAAGTATTTCAATATTTACTGGGCCCTTATTATGTTTAAGGAACTGTTTTTCTTACAGAGGGGAAGGAGAGATTAAAAGAAAAATAAGCCATAGTTATTACCCACAGGCACCTTACAGTCCAGACACGAGAGCTAATTATTATATAAGAGACAAGGAAATGAGTGTCAAATGGAGGCAAAGTAGGGTGGGGATAAAAAGCAAAGATTAAGTGAATGGGCACAGGGAGTGGGAGATGGGAGACAGGTAAGGCACAAGGTAGCGGCGTGAGTTGGGCCTCGTAGGGCGAAGAGTTTGACAGCATAAGCAAGAGAAAAGGAAAAGTGCTAGGCATGTTTTAGGAAACATGTTTTAGGAAAGGTTGTTAGTCCTGTGTGAGTGCAATGCGAGATGTCTCTGGAGGGATAGAAGATTCTGAGGCTGGGGCGCCTGGGTGGCTCAGTCGGTTAAGCATCTGCCTTCGGCTCAGGTCATGATCCCAGGGTCCTGGGATCGAGCCCTGCACTGGGCTCCCTGCTCAGTGGGAAGCCTGTTTCTCCCTCTCCCACTCCCCCTTCTTGTGTTCCCTCTCTCGCGGTGTCTCTCTGTCAAATAAATAAATAAAATCTTTAAAAAAAAAAAAAGAAGAAGATTCTGAGGCCAAGAGGGTGAAGATGCTGGAAAGCCTTGAATGCCACACTAAAAAAAAAAAAATTGAACTGTGGCAAAATTATCTACTTTGGTATACACAGATGAGCAGATTATACCTAACAGCACTGTCTATTTAACTTTGGATGAGACACACTCACATATTCATCGGCCCTGAGCCTGGTTCAGGCTCTATCCAGGATGGGTATGAAGAAGGAGTATTAGACAGCTAATGGCTGTTGACTGGCCAGAAATTCAGACTAGCCTGTACTAATCATGTTCCAGGGTTGATAGTTCAAGAAAATTCCTAATTTGGGGTGCCTGGGTGGTTCAGTTGGTTAAGCATCCAACTCTTGACTTTGGCTCAGGTCACGATCTCAGGGTTGTGAGATTGGGCCTCATGTCAGACTCTGTGCCGAGTGGGGAGCTGGCTTAGGATCTCTCTCCCTCTGCCTCTGCCTCTGCGCTCACACACTCTCTCTCTCTCTCTCAAAAAAAATAATATATATATATAGTTTAAAAGAAAGAAAATTCCTAATTCAAATCAATAAGGCTACTAGCTGACCTTTTTCACAAAAGTCAGCACTTCTCTCCATAAAACTTGCATAAAAGGGATATATTGGACATATGATTTGTTGCTATATGGAATAGTGCTATGAAAGATGTAACAAGAGTTTCTCTTTCAAGTGTCTATTTGTATGAAATATGGTAATGGTGATAATGCATGTCATATGCTTCACATAGTGCCTGGCACATAGTATGTGCTCAGTAAATGGTAACTATTACTATCACTACCACCATTATCAAATATTTCTAGAATCAATGTTTGATGACAAAAAAACAACAACTAGAATTATATATGGTAGCTTTATAAGACTTAGATATCTATTCCTTGCTACCCAGCATTCTTTATTATTTTTCCCATCTGATCTTTTGATTTACTTTTAATAGACTTTATTATTATTATTTTTAAAGATTTTATTTATTTATTTGACAGAGAGAGAGAGCGAGAGGGGGAACACAAGCAGCGGGAGTGGGAGAGGGAGAAGCAGGCTTCCCGCTGAGCAGGGAGCCCGATGCAGGGCTCGATCCCAGGACCCCGGGATCATGACCTGAGCCAAAGGCAGACGCTTAACGACGGAGCCACCCAGGCGCCCCTAGACTTTATTTTTTAGATCAGTTTTCCGTTCACAGCAAAACTGAGTGGACGGTACAAAGATTTCCTCTGCTCTCACATAAGCAGAGCCTCTCCCACTATCAAAAGCTGAACGAAAGTGGTAAAT